AATAAAATGGACTGAACGTTGTGATAAAAATCAACAAAATAAGATAAAACTTGTAGAAAGTTTCAAGTAATGACAATGCTCTAAGAAATTCTAACTACTGATTATATTTTATACACAAACCGGATGCTTACCGTTCGACGACTAAAACAGGCTGCGTAAATACGTTTTCTGCGCATCAGCTCCACGCAAACATGCGCTTTAGTTAAAATAAAATTCATAATATATTACGACCAGTCAGAACCACTGCTGCGGAAAAAGCCAAAATTTCGAGACGACCAAAAACTATATATACCCAAACAGATCAGCGTTTGATATGAACACCGACAAGCCGAGAAATAAAATGACCTGAGAGTTACGTCATAAATTGACTGAAATAAAATCAGACAACAATATATATCTGTCTATATTTCTGAGATGAGGTATTATGTACACTATTTACATTATTCGGACTATTATCCTCATCTCTGTTGCCATATTCTTCAGTTGGTTGGAATGTCGAACTGAACATATGGCACAGTGGCTAATGGCGTTGGTAAGATCCGTTGACAGAACCCAAACAGTTTTGAGTTCAATACTTGGTTAAGTTAGTGGAGAACTTGAAGAGGGGAATTTACAGGAGATAACTGACATCCATTAGACATGGTACGTGGAACTAGAACAGTCTACCTCAGCGAGCGAAATAAAGGGTTCAGTTCGATAAACACCTGAAGAAGGCCGGAACGTTATGATAAATATGGCAACTAAGATGAGGACAATAGTCCGAATAATGTAAATAGTGAACACTATATATATATATAGACAGATTGTATTTGACTGAACTAAAATCTAAAATAAGTTGCAGGCGTAAAAAAAGAGATCACTGTGTAAAAAGATAGTTTTCAATTTGGCATTAATAGTTTTATGGATTCAAAAGCGTTCTAATTTCCATCGACTTAAAAAGGGATTAATACAAAACACTACAACTGGTCATAGTCAGTCAAGTCAAAGATGATGAGTCATCTGCACAAAATTTGATCAAGCGATCACATTTCTACAAAGAGATAAGGAAAGCAGTTAGAAATTAAAATATTCAGAGATAACTGAGGCTCCACAACTCGAGCGTCAACACCCTTATATTTTTTTTCTCCTGTATACTATCAGTAAAAACAGTTATTTAAATGTAGGAATTCTTCCATGCCAAGCACTTGGTCATCTTTTCAAACATTTCAAATACGCAATTTTTTTTTCAATTCACGAACGACGTCAGAAACAAAAAAATGTGTTTATATACATACATATAGATACGTATATATTTATATATGTATGCCTGTATACACACGCGCACACAAACAAATTAAGGGGAAAAGTATCATAGTGGAAAATGTTTTCGTATGACGCGTTTTGTTCTTTGTGGCTTTATCGGACTAAAGGACAAAACGCGCCGTACAGAAACTTTCCACTGAATCATATTTTCACCTTAAAAATTCCTTTTTATATATATATATATATTATATATATATATATATATATATATATATATATATATGCTCTCTGCATTCTGTTGAGGATCCTTCAAGAGTCGATGATTTACTTAATTATGATTATTTCAAATCCGCTTTATAATTTCTATCACTTGTATATCAGGCTACTTGTTAAACAGGCTTCCAATGCTCTGGATGGAGCGGCTTGGGGATAGAAGATATGGCTCGTGGGGGCACAGTACGCTGGCCGAGGCAAACCAGGATGAGTTACACCACCGAATTTGTGAAGAGCGGCTCTATATCAAGTATATAGGACGAAACGGCCGTCCAGTGGTTTCTGCATTCTGTTGAAGATTCTTCTAGCCTCGATGAAATACTTAATTATGATTATTTGAAATCCTCCTAATAATTTTATCATATATATATATATATATATATATATATATATATATATATATGTATTTAAATAAAAAAGAAAGAACAGTAAGATATATAATCCGGTGTTCTTATAGATATTTTTATTTTTACAAAATAGTGCTCAATGTAAATTTACATAGCATTAATATTATAAATTAATTGATTTAAAATATGTTTTTTTTTGCTACACAGTTCTAACCATGTTTCAAAAATGGAAGCTAAAAGCCCCGAATTTAATTTTGTAATTAAATTAAAGACATTAGACTTTTTTTTTTCTATTTATAAAGATTTTTGGTGGGTGTTTAGGTAAGAATACGTTTTATTTGACTACGATTTGAAATATTTTCACTTTTAATTTTTAATATACTATATTTCTTTTAAGAACAATTAAATGTAATTAGAATCCCATACAGTATGTAGAATTATTTTCACATCAAGTATAAGTATGTAAATTATTAGGTTACAAATCTTTTTTATATTTAAATATTATTTAAGTAAAATTTATGACAATGACGGCAAAAATAGCTACTTAATTTCACTGATTTAGTAAACTATTATTTTTTATATAAACCTAGTAATATATTGTTTCTCATGTAAGTACAAAGGACATGGGTCATTCATAAGTTTACATCTTCTAGCCTGACATATTAATTTCATTTTCATATATAATATATTTAATAATTTACATTATAAAATAATGCCGTAAGAATTTCTGCCGCTAACAATAGAATTTTAAAAAATCCAGACGACATGCATTTAACGGATGTTAGATTTCATTGAAAAATAAATTCCTACCCCCTACCAAAACGTAACTAATAACTGATACATCAAAATACAGACATAATGAACACGCAGCCACCCCTTGTCTAGTGGAAGTGGATTTATCTGTAACCTTGGAAACGTGAATTCTGATTTTAGCTGTGTCTTTAAAACCCAGTAATTTTAAAAGTTACTTCAAAATTCGCTTGAGGATGAAATGGAACTAATGTCTTTAATTTAATTACAAAATTAAATTCGAGGCTTTTAGCTTCCATTTTTGAAACATGGTTAGAAATGTGTAGCGAAAAAACATATTTTAAATCAATTAATTTATAATATATATATATATATATATATATATATATATATATTAACAGATTCAATACTGCTGGTGAAGCATTAACGTTTTTCAGAAGCTGTGATTATGGTATTTTCCAAGATTAAAGCTTGTAGCATTTTCCCTGTTCCATTACTTTATAAAATGAACGTGTTCATAACTGAAAAATAACCCCGACTAGCAAGAGATTTCATTGCCTAAATTTTCTTATAATAAAATTATCTTCTACACATGATATTTAAAACAAATACAGAGCAACTCGAAAAATATACCAAGAAAATGTTGCACAAATTAGCAAGGATGATGCGTAATTTAGGGGACATAGGTCTGTGCCGCTGCTAATTTTCCTAATTTAGGATCTAAATACCCACTAAATGTATATAACTGAAACTGTCGTATATATGTACGTAAGAATACTTACAAATATTTACAATGTCTTTGAAAATGTCATTTAAATAGATATGATCTTTTGAAACTACGAAGACGAAAACCAAGTGAAATTGTTTTTACAATGATGTTCATATTGTACAAGACACAAGAGACATCCTAGGTAGAGGGTTATAGACTAAGAGGCACAGATTATGTGAATATATGTAGAAGATAACGGTTAACCAGAAATTTGAAAAGATTAAGATTGTAGTTATCGGGGAAACATCATTTTGGGAATCGGTTCCACAAAATAGTTGTTCGTGGGAAGAATCTGCTCAAGTGGAACTTGCATCTCACCAATAGTATACACGAAGGGAATGAGGGTGGTTGACTACAATGTGCATTGCCAAGGCAGGTCTTAGCCAGGAATGGTAGAACTGGAAGAACTAAGGAATGCAGTTCGTCTGAGCACTTTCCATGGAATTGCGATAGAGCAGAAAGAGACTCCCGACGTTTTGTCTGTGAGAAAAGAGGTTGTAGGGTGGAAAATAATTCGTCACCTACAAGGACGGGGAAACGCTTTTGGACTCTGTCGAGCGTGCAAAGTGAAGATTGGGATGCTCCTGCCCATGTATGGCAGCAGTACTCTATTTCCGGCCTGATATGGCTCTTGTAAAAACGGAGGATAGAAAGAAGAGTCAGGTTCTTACTCGAAAGGTTCAGGGAACAGATTATTTTCCGGAATCTTTAGCGATGGATCGTATGGACAAGATCCATTTTAGTTCTGGGGTAGAGTTTAAGTCCCAATAGGCTCTCAAGGCACTGAGTCACCCCGAGGGGCCATCCCTTCATCGCGATTGGTGAAAATTCTGAACCCGACCGGCGATGGTGAAATCCCACTAGTTTCATTTTCGTGGCCTTGAATGTGACCAGCCAGTTGCTCTCCTACTGAGCTGTTACATTAAAGTCAGAAGAGAGATAAGCTGCCAAACTTTGGCCATCTAGAGTTTTGGAGGCGCACCCTGTATATAAAGTTGCGTTGTATTATAAGCATAAATATTCACACATGCTCTTAGTATACTCTTAGGCAGGTCATTTATGTTAAGAAAGAGGGTTGAACCAAGAAAAGAACTTTGGGAAACGCCTGCGTTTATCGATATGGCTTCAGAAAATTAGCCGTTAACCACTATTTTCAGTTATGGACAAACCTGAGTAAATTAAATTTGAAAATACAAAAAATAACTTGAGCCCAAACTGATCTGACCATCTAAAAGTGACATAGATATGGATATTTGATTGTCATCTACTTTAAGTGGAAACAGCCACATATAAGATATTAATGAATTTCTACTCATTAATCACTTATTTGAGTTATTTTGAACTTTTGATCGCGAATAATCCTCCCAATATATATATATATATATATATATATATATATATATATATATATATATATATGGCATAGGAGGAGATAACCTTTCTCAATAGCTCACAAAGGAAATTTAAATTGGAGTAAAATTTAGAAATAAATTTAGTCTGAAAATTTAACTACAATATAATCTATTCTTTTTTTTATCAATTCACCCCACGAAAGTCGACAATGCCACTGAGAGTTAAAGAGAATGAAAAAGAATTTACACGGCATCGGAAACTCATACTACATAGATAGATAGATAGATAGATAGATAGATAGATAGATAGATAGATATGGATATAGTATGTGTGTATGTGTAAGTGAGAGAAATAATCAGGGGAGAATGAACATTTGCCAAAAGATATTGTTATATTGTTTATAGCTTCCTATTCAGATCAGTATGTTTATCTTGGTTGGTATACTCAGTATTTCGGTCATTTTTACCCAGCGGCCATGTTTTGGTGTCTGACGTCATACTCGGTAACCACCTAGCAGCCTCTGATTAAGAAAGAAATTGATGCTGAAAAGTTACACTACATGAGTCAAGACAATATAATAGAGTATTGGCATTAGGTTAAAGACATCAAAATTATTGAATTCTTCTAAAAACGTGGTTGGACAATTAAAACCTTTGTTAATGACATACCTGGTTCCTTGGCACTTGTGACTTCAATTCATGCCATTGATTGTACTGAAAAGTCACCAACCTTGGTTCACTTGAAAACAAATGAATAAACGACACTGCTCAGCGTTGACCGATATGAAATATCGCATCCCGTGAATTGAATAAAAGGTTAATTTCAATACTGCCAGATCACAAAGTATGAATATAGACACATCGAGAAGGCTGGAATATTGTGAGTGTAAAAAGGCTGAAACGTTGTGAGTATAAAAGATAGGATCAGCAATCTGGTTCAAATAACAGGTCATATAATAATGATAATTCCTCAACTAATAGATTCTGATAAAACTTATGATATTCCGATTTAAATGAATAAGGCTTTTTGTTTTCGATAAAATGTTAGTCAATAGACTCACCAACCTGGTAGACGTAAGAATTTAGACTTCAGCAAAGTAAGAAATGTTTGTGCATACTAAATCTTAATAATGTTAAATGTATTTGTGATCTAAGATGCGATAAAAATAATAAAATGCATTTGTGGTTAGAGTCATATTAAATTCTTCTGAGATGGAAGTAGGTTCCTGTCTTTTCACGTCTACCATTGCCAACGAGGTCAGAGACCCGCCATTTGCGATTAGGCTGACATGACGCCATTTTGTCGGAGCGGAGAGATAGGAACGAGAAAGACGAGCACGTAGTCGGTAGACAACGTAGTACAAGAAGAGAGACTAACAAAAGATACAATGGTAGGGGTTCACTGTGAAGATGGTTATCGCCAGTTAGAAAGGTAGAAATGGGATGTAGCGCCGGTGCTTCATTTGACAGACGATGAAGTAAAGGGTTTTAAAAGCACCGGCTAAAGGGGCGCATCTGAGACAGGCAAGCAATTTGATAAAGAGCAGGGGAATTTGGTGGCAGCAAAACGGACAAGTTTTTATTTGCCTCTTGGAATAAGAAGAAATTAATGTTTATCAAGGTCATAGGTAGAAGACCAGAGAAGAAAGAAACTTGAAACTTTATACACACCTTCCTGAGTATATTCCAAGCATATATATATATATATATATATATATATATATATATATATATATATTAAGAAAAATGACAATTTATTTATTAAAGGTTTTCCCTATGAAATAACAACGTTAAACATAAAAAACTTTAATAAATATCATATATATATATATATGCATAACTTGTTAAAACTTGGTTTTCTCTCTCTAGAAACTAATATCATGAATGCATATATATATATATATATATATATATATATATATATATATATATATATATATATATATGAGAGAGAGAGAGAGAGAGAGAGAGATAGAGAAAGTTAATTTAAACATGTTTTTAATGATTAAACCATTTCAGGTTTTTATAGTCAGAAAATATTTTTAGATTGTAAAATTTGGGTGATGAGGCGGATAATAATGATTTAGTCTTACTAATTAACCCATAGCTGGAGTGAGAGAATATATCAAATCTATCAGGAATTTGAACTCGGCTCTCCGATTAACAATTCCAAGTCATTATCCCTTACACCATCCGCACTTCCAAGCTTACAGCATCTGGCATTGTTAAGCGGTTACCTATCTGAACAGGCTCGACGTGGCGTAACTTCAGCGATCGTATGGCAACCGGTGTTTCAATATAATGTGACAGTCCTTAAACAACTTTTATTAAATTCAACCAACAATGTCTGCCTATTTAACATTTTATTATATTTCTCGAATAAGATGTTTTGGAACAAAATTTTGGAGCTGTCCAAAGTTTGTCTTGTTCTGTTCGTCGAATACGTTCGGCCGTCAATAATTAAATGTCAGATTTGGTAGACAAGATGCTATTGGTTATATGTGGGCATATTTTTTTTACAGTAGAGTTCACCCTGTTCAAAGCCCGGTGCCACTCAAGGTAGAGGGTTAAGTTAAAAGGTAGTTTATATGGATACAAAGGGAAGATAACGGTTAACTCTAGACTTGAACAAGTTAACATGGTAGTGATCGGGGAAATATCCTATTGAGAGTCTGTTCCACAGATCAGTGGTTCGCAGGAAGAAGCTTTTTGAGTGGAACGTCTCGCCGATGAAATACGGATAAAATGTGGTTGGTTTGCTACTTTTTAAGTAATAAAGTGAGTCCTAGCCGAGGAGTTTAGACATGGTGGAACCAAGGAATGTAGTTTGATCGAGCACTTTCCATGATAGTAGCGATAGAGTGAGAGGTTACACGTGGAAAATAATTCTTCTCCAATGGGCTCAGAGACACTTTTTAACTATAATGACCGGACAGTGATGATTAAGCAGCTCCCGCTAAAATTAAAACAACGGTTTTAGGTCTAAAATGATCATCAGACTTTGAAACTGTCAGCTACCATAGTGTTTATTTTCATATCCACACTCTTTACACCTACAGACGTTTTATCCACCATATTGATCTTTTACCAGACAGAAAAATGTTAAACAGTGTGTGTGTTCAGGATTGCCTTAAGATTGCGTTTCAAGCATGAACGCCGCTGTTCGGTGTTGACCGTGGTGTCCACATATTTTTCTATCTACATAAGCTATATCTGATATTCAGCTCATTTACCCATAAATACAGCATAACTTAAAATACATTTTTATCGTATATGTTTGAAACATTTTCATATGCATTTATACATGTTTCTTTCTTCAGGTGGATGTGCGTGTAGATCAAATTAATTTTAGCTATATCAAATCTTTATGTAACAAAATCATCCGTTAAAACCTGAATAATTCAGATAAACCTCCAAAAAGGTGAATTGTCGAATGTCATATGATAAGATTCCGACAGCTATTGTTTGGCAATGAACTGGAATTTAGAACCCGTAAGAATCAAACAATACAATTAAAAAAATAAAAAAAAAATATATTTTATACGACAGTTTTTGGTTTTTGCCTTTTTTTTTTTTGCTTTTAAAATAATCAGGTGATTTTAGCATTTTTTTAGTAACATTCTCTGGGTTACAGCTATGAGGAAATACGTATGACAACTTTCTTCACGCACATTAATTATTATAATTGCATTCTTTTAATATTTTTTAGTAATAGAAAGTCTCAATATGTCAGATTTTCCCAAGAACTACCTCGTTGTGAAACAGACAGTTACGTGGGTATTTCCCTGAGCACTTCATTTTAACCTATTGAAATCAAGAGAAAATCATTAACTTGATACCACCACCTATTTCATTCATATCACAAACCACATTCAACTTTAACAGTAACTCTCCACATTGAGGTGCTCTCGAGCATTCTATTGGAGAAACATTTGAATAAAATTTCCGATGATATATGATAAAGTTTTCATTTCTTTCGAATGGCATTATTGGCTGATTGCATCCATTTTGGCAATTAATCGACCAAATAACATTGTAACAGTATTAATAACCTCAAAGCAACAAAAGAATACAATAAGAATAACAAAAGAATTTCTTATTGAAATCGAAAATATATACGTTTCTGCGAAAACAATGTGATTCACTCAGAACGGGCAGAAAAAGTAAAAGAAAACAAAACTTGAAAGGTTAATATGATTAAATTACATAAATGAAACAAGGAAATATTTTAAAAAACAATAGATTCCAATAATTTGAGGACGGTTCTGTCGACCTCAGCTGGTGAGGTCGAACGGAAGATCGATGAATCAATACTAGCGGGCCATTGGTGAAATGGACAGACAGATGGATACGAAAATTGGTTACAACTGTAGTATAAAACAAATGGAAGATGTTTGAAAAAATTTAGTGCCATTAGAAAAAAATGGAAATAATCTTCGGCGACAATTTCACATGTAACAGAAAGATTTATCTTCAAAACTAATATCGGATGATGATGATCAGATTTGAACGCAAGATTTTGAGAGAGCTAGAAATGAAGTTGACCTTTTCATCTACTAAAGCATCGATACTATAAAAAGTTCATTTTAAAAGGCGTTCACATCCACTGAATGACAATTTCCGCCGTTTCCGAAAAAAAGTAGACTGAAGAAACAATGAAAATAATTGGTGTTTTGTGGCGATCTTTCGTGACACTTGTAACACGATTGTTTTAATGATAAGATTTGCATTGGATAAAACAAAACAATTTACTCTTATCTCGTTATTTGACTGTTTATACTTGCTTGTTATCAAAGCCGAAAATCAGAAAGTGTAAAAGAATCCGATATTCAGTGCAACACTCCAAGAGAAAAAGTAAATGGTCGATAAACACATTGAAACGATAAAAAAGCAAATTAAAATCATGATTCATCCATAGAGAATCTCAATGCTTAACGTTTTTCATATATTTAAAGCATCACGATGCAATGGAATTAACAACGCTACTTGATACCTGTCACTATTTAGTCGTTCGTATAAATTATAATATATTCGCTAAAACTGCTTTTTCTTTCGTCGAAGTATTACTTTGAACATTCTTTTTTTCGATTTCATTTGATGCACTTACGTGAAGCATGTCAATTGACGCATCAATTCTTATGTAAATCTTTGCTTGTATGTGTATCAAACCTTTATTCTATTTCTAAAATTGCATACACATTTCATCCACTGAACGTAACAAATATTATAGGACAGAGGTAGTTCTATTAGGAAACTAAATTCACATTTTTTTAAGCATTTTACCCCTATCAAGGCGGGAAGCCACTAGCACACAAGGGGTTACAGAGGATTTGGAGCGAGAGCAGATAGGAGTGATAGAGGAAAGGATGAGGAGAAGGATAGTGGATAGATCAAGGCAACTGGAGATGTCGATTGACATTACATTTGAATAGTTAGAGATTATAGCTATCAGGGAAACAGGAATAGGGAAGGGAGTTCCACAGGCGAGAGGTTCGAGATATGAAGCTATTGGAGTAGAAGAGGCGGTTACATTTAACAGTTCCAATAGTGAAAGGGTGAGAGCGGGATGCCAGCCTCGTAGGACGCTTGAATTCGCGAAGTCTGGGAAAATTGAAATGCCTCTTTGTTATGCAATATTAACTGTTTCAACTGAACTCAAAATATGCCATCATTTTTTATAATGAACTCATTAATATACGATTCTACTGGACATTACCATTAAATTACAGGAATATGGTGAAATCACGCTAAAAGCACCGGTTCCCTTTCGAATAATGAAATTAAACAGAATTGTACTCGGTTAAGATTTAGATGGGGGCAACCTGGCCACTCAGGGCATTTTAAGCACCTCTTACAATCCAAAATATGTTTCGGCTTTAAATAATCTACAAAGGGGTTAATAAACCGTAAAAATTGATCACACCTACCTCCAGAATTATTGGGGGAAAATAGAGAAATGGTTTTCTCTTCAGTTTTGAATTCAGAATTATAATTCTCCTTAGCTAACCCAAGCCAAACAGACGTGGCTTTAAGAATAAAAGAAATGCATTAATATTTGTGTGAAAGAACGCGTTATACTAAGCAGTAACTTGAACTCGGCCCGATAATTCCATTTTTGTTGCTGATAACTGTTACTTCGGCTGAATTCTCCTAAATGAATTGACCCCTACGCGTCAGATGTTTTTTAGTATATATGTATTCTAATGATCTAAATACCAACAGAGCTTATTTTGAATTTAAAATTTTGTTCGTAAACGTAACATTGATGCAAGTAACTTCAACAATTCTGAAGTGCTATACACGAAATTTTCTGAATAAATGAGGTTTCAACTATTTGTCCATCTAAGGCCAATTATGGCACCACTTCAAACAA